TTAGCAATACATTGTCTGACATCAAATTGCGCATCAAGGATCGACACAATTCCCTCCGAATAGGTCGATCCCTTACTCTACAATGATCCAAAACCTATTCTCCAGCACATTCAACTGACCCTTCTCCTTAGGTGTTAATTAATGAATTCACCCTTTTAATACTGCATCTTGTCGACACTTCCTACATTTTTAACAATATATAATGTTATAGTTCTTATATATTTGTATCAACGTATTTAAAAGTTTAATGAATACCTTATTTTCATGTTTCCTCCGTTCTTTGTATTCTTTACTATCATTCCTTGACTGTGTGATGTAAGGTTCCTTTCAGCATCACTCATTGAATTCCATTTGGACCTCACATCTTTTGTCACCTAATATAAACATAAACGTTTCTTAATCAATACATTAACGCTAAATACTACTCAATGTCAATTTCATTTTACATACCGAACCGCTCTGTGTGCCATCTTCCTTTATCCTTTGCATTCGGCTATACTGTCAACATTTAAAATTTGTAATCAATTAAAGTTTATCGATACTTTAATCCAATTACCATTTCAACAATAATACAAAAAGCATTGATACTTACTAGAAATACATATATCCACCTTTGTTGCTTTCGAGTCTCGACCTCAATTTCAAAGTCATCTGTGCTACCAACAATTTTCCAACCCATTGACTCCATTTTTCCTTCATATATCAGTTTACGCAAATCAAATTATTTTGTTACATACACTTTATTCAATATACAAATATAGATAACTACTCTTGTGGTAAAACGGTTTTCTTCAAAAGAATTTGAATGGCCACTACAAAATGTGTCAGCACATTTATTCAACCTATAATATCATTTCTACCTATAATATTAATAAAAGTATCGACATTTTATTTTACCTTCAATATCACTTTCTACCTGCAATCGGTCTCAAATGCTTCTTTACTCCAAAACCCCAAACAACACATAAAAACCCTATTCGCGATTACTGTAATAATAAAAAACTAGGGTTTCGACAACGTACTTTTCAATTCGACTGCAGCAACAAACAAACAAACTTCGCTTTAGAAACGCCTTCTTAAATGCAGTAACAATTACGCTTCGATTTCAAAAACTCATCCGTTCTATCGATTTTCAGAGGATATTTAGATATGGCCTTTATATTTTCATCGGATATGTTATTTATATTTAATCGACACAATATTAAAAAGTGTCGATACTTTTATGTCAGGTGTCGATACTTTCGAAAGGATAATTACCTATTTCTTTGAAAGTGTCGATAATTTATTACACGTACTTACGAAAGTATCGACACTTTCAATATATCCGGTATCGTTTTACCAGTTTTATCATTTTGATACCAGTTTTATCATTTTGATACCGGTTTTATCATATTTTTACCTGGTATATCATTTTGGATCGATACATTTTTTAAAAGTATCGACACTTTATAGGATTTAAAACTGCTTCTCTTTTAAATTCACGAAGTGTCGATCCTTATATTAAAGTACCGACACTTTAAATGTATCCGGTAGCGCTTTACCGGTTTTATCATTTCTATACCGGTTTTGTCATAGTTTTACCTGTTATATCATTTTGGATCGACACATTTTTAATTTGGATCGACACGAACCGGTAGCACAATTTTTTAATATTTCTTCATAACTTAGACCTACTACATTATTATTAGTCAACATTTCAGGTAGCGCTAAACCGAATTAATTATCCACAGTGAAAAAAGTATGGACACTTTTATAAAAAGGACAGATACTTTACAATATAAGCGCTACCTATTACATTATATAAACGTTACCTATTACATTATATAAGCACTACCTATTACATCATATTTTACCTATTATATTGAAAGTGTCCTTTTTATAAAAAGGATCGATACTTTTTTTAAAGTTATGTAATTTATGTTTCAATTTTTTCTAATAGTGTTTCATGTTTTCCACCTACAATATTAATTTAATAATTTCATATACACAAAAAATTATTTGATTGTTTTGATATTTTATAAAATATTATTTAGAATTTAAATTTAACAATATTAACCAAAGATAATAATAAATATATAATATATATGTTTATTGTTTTTAATTTAATAATAATATATACCGTAACATAAAAAATAAATCATTAAGCTCTATAATTACTAAATTGATATCTTAAAACTCACTCAAAAGATAACCTTAAATTAATGTTTTCCACAGTGAAAAAAGTATGGACACTTTTATAAAAAGGACAGATACTTTACAATATAAGCGCTACCTATTACATTATATAAACGTTACCTATTACATTATATAAGCGCTACCTATTACATCATATTTTTACCTATTATATTGAAAGTGTCCATACTTTTTATAAAAAGGATCGATACTTTTTTTAAAGTTATGTAATTTATGTTTCAATTTTTCTAATAGTGTTTCATGTTTTCCACCTACAATATTAATTTAATAATTTCATATACACAAAAAATTATTTGATTGTTTTGATATTTTATAAAATATTATTTAGAATTTAATTTAACAATATTAACCAAAGATAATAATAAATATATAATATATATGTTTATTGTTTTTAATTTAATAATAATATATACCGTAACATAAAAAATAAATCATTAAGCTCTATAATTACTAAATTGATATCTTAAAACTCACTCAAAAGATAACCTTAAATTAATGTTTTCCACAGTGAAAAAAGTATGGACACTTTTATAAAAAGGACATATACTTTACAATATAAGCGCTACCTATTACATTATATAAACATTACATATTACATTATATAAGCGCTACCTATTACATCATATTTTTACCTATTATATTGAAAATGTCCATACTTTTTATAAAAATGGTCGATACTTTTTTTAAAGTTATGTAATTTATATTTCAATTTTTTCTAATAGTGTTTCATGTTTTCCACCTATAATATTAATTTAATAATTTCATATACACAAAAAAATTATTTGATTGTTTTGATATTTTATACAATATTATTTAGAATTTAAATTTAACAATATTAACCAAAGATAATAATAAATATGTAATATATATGTTTATTGTTTTTAATTTAATAATAATATATATCGTAACATAAAAAATAAATCATTAAGCTCTATAATTACTAAATTGATATCTTAAAACTCACTCAAAAGATAACCTTAAATTAATATTTTCCACAGTGAAAAAAAGTATGGACACTTTTATAAAAAGGACAGATACTTTACAATATAAGCGCTACCTATTACATTATATAAACGTTACCTATTACATTATATAAGCGCTACCTATTACATCATATTTTTACCTATTATATTGAAAGTGTCCATACTTTTTATAAAAAAGATCGATACTTTTTTTAAAGTTATGTAATTTTGTTTCAATTTTTTTAATAGTGTTTCATGTTTTCCCCTATAATATTAATTTAATAATTTCATTTACACAAAAAATTTGATTGTTTTGATTTTATAAAATATTATTTAGAATTTAAATTTAACAATATTAACCAAATATAATAATAAATATGTTTTCCACAGTGAAATAAGTATGGACACTTTTATAAAAATGATATATACTTTTTTTAAAGTTATGTAATTTATGTTTCAATTTATTTTAATAGTGTTTCATGTTTTCCACCTACAATATTAATTTAATAATTTCATTTACAAAAAAAATTATTTGATTGTTTTGATATTTTATAAAATATTATTTAGAATTTAAATTTAATAACATTAACCAAAGATAATAATAAATATGTTTTCACAGTGAAATAAGTATGGACACTTTTATAAAAAGGATAGATACTTTACAATATAACAGGTAAAAATATGACAAAACCAGATTCATTATGACAAAACCGATAAAATTTACTTGATATGTTAAAAGTATAGACACTTTTATAAAAAGGATAGATACTTACCGATAACCAAAGTTTACCGGTTACCAAATTTTTTAATAGTTTTTCATATTTTCTACCTAAAACATTATTAGTTGTCAACATAATAGGTACCGCTGAACCGAATTTATTAAATATATTCTAATGTATCCGGTAATGCCGTATATTAACCGTATATTAACCCGTCTTTCCCGAGACAATCCCGTGGGGTTGGGATTAGATAAAAACCACCAAAGCTGCTGTTGAAATCAAGGCTCATAATGAGCCACTTCCAGAATAAAAAAAATTGAAGATGCTGCCATGAAGGTGCTGTCATGGTGAGGGAGGATGGGATTGTAATTTGGGATTTAGGGTTTGAATCGTTTATGGTATTTTTAGTTAAATGTCAAATTTGAAAGTTATTGACCTCCAACGAAGGTGACCGATGGTGGTCAGACGACAATCGACATGTGACAAGAATCTGAGTTTGTTTAAGTTAATGAGAAAATGAGGAGAGAATGAGAGGAGGAAGAAAAAGAATGAATGAAAATGGAAAAATATTTTATTTTATCTATTTTTAATTATTAAAAATATTTATTTATTAAATAAACGTCATAACACTATTAGAAAGTTAACAGTGGAATGACAAAAAAGTTAATGTATAAAGTTCAATAATTAAATTGAAATAATTGAAAGTACGATGAATAAAATAAGAGAGAGTAAATTTAATTACCAAACATGTGATTTACCCGTGTTTTAAAATATAAATATTATTGTCACCGTACTTACTTTTTTATATTTTTCTTTTTCATCTTTTATCTCAAAGTTCTAAAATTTTAGACACTCAATAATTAAAAATAATAATTATAGTTTTTAAGTAAATATTTTAATGTTAAATTTGAACTGAAATTTAATGTCTAAATCAATAGAAGCTCTTAATTGAAATAATTTCGATATTTTGAGGACTCAAATAGAATTTAAAATTTAGTCTATAACTCGAGGACTGACGGTGAAGTTAACCCAAAAACTCTTCAAAACATCGCGGTTCAAGGGTTGAGTTTTAAAAGCAGAGTCGAACTTCTCGATATTTCAGGTAGAACGCGCTACATTAACAACCCAGGCGAGTCGGCAAGTCCGGTCCGGTTTTATTTTTCTTCTTTCAGTCTCCCCTCTCGGCATCGCGACACTTACCCTCTTCTTTCTCTCGAGGAAAAAAATCGATATTTGAAAGAACCGTTGGAGGTGAGAAATATTTGCAGGGATGGAAGAAAAGCCTCCTCGCTCTAATCTCAAGCGCCAATTCTTCGAAGACCAAGACTCCAACAAGCCTCCCGCGTAATTATTTTATTTTTTTCCTTTCATTTTTCAATAAATTTATGCACTTATTTTATTTTAGCTCGCCATTTCCTCTTTTATGTTCGCTCTCCGTTTCTCTTATTTTCTTTTTGAAAGCCTTAGCTTGTCAATATCTTTTAGGGTTGTTTATTAGTGTATTAATTTTTCAAGGGTTTTAATGAAGTTCCAAACCCCCCCCCAACCTCTTTCGAGTGTAGTAAAGTCATTGATATCTTCGATTAAGTTTATTTTCTATAAGGAAATTAGGGTGAATTAGGTCTCCTTTTTTAATTTCTTTTTCCTCCCAGGGATAATTTATATTTGAATTTTTGGAATTTTAGAACTAAATCAATATGTTTATTTACAGGCAAAAGAGGGTTAGGTTCCCCAAGGGAAAGAAGGTAAAGCCTGGAGAAGAAGTACCGAACAGAGTTGATATCGAAGACGGTTCGGGTGACTTGAAGGATCTTCATCTTGCTGCTAAGGAGCGCTCCAAACGCCGCAGTCAAATTACCACAGAGCTATTTGCTGAAGATGGACGGGGAATGCTTAATGATGTCACGGGTGCTGAAGTTTCATATGAGGCAAGTTTATTGTGTTTTTAGTCTGTCCAATTTTGGTTTCTATATTGGACTTGACAGTTTGAACATGCCATAAGTTGTTAAATATGCAGTGTTTTCTGAATTAATGCCAATTTATTCTAGCTGTTCAAAGGGTAGAAGATAATTCACAATCTTTGCACTCTTATATGGTTTATGGTGGTCCAACCAGTTATGTACGTCAGCTTTCTCTAAGTTTAGTCTCTGACTCTAATAATTGGTAAATGGTAGTTTCCTTTTTATTTCTAATTAAAAAGCATCTTTATCTTCAATTTGTTGTAATTTAGCTGTTGACTCTTATAATATTTAGTGCCACTCTGAGCTATCACACACCTGAATTTTAACTCTGTTATTTGAGTGAGTTTATAAGTTTAGGATGTTTCTTTCCTGAATTAGCAGAATTTTTGCCAGCTAAGATGACTGCTAGAGTCCTAAATTATTGGTTCAGGAGAAAGGAATAGGATTAGCCAATGACGAGGAGTTTCTTTTTGCAGGATAATGAGAACTTCATTGATGATGGAGTTCAAATAGAACCCTTCAATCTTAACAAGGAAAGAGAAGAAGGATACTTTGATGCGGAAGGAAACTTTGTTGAATATGTTGCTGACAAGGAAATCAAGGTTAAGCGTTGTGTTGACCTGAAGCTGCTAAATATAATTACCAGAACTTCTATTGATTACTACATGGGTTTATTGTAGGATGCCTGGCTTGACAGTGTTGAAGCTGACATAAAATATACAGGAAAAGCATCTGTAACAACAAATGGTGAAGATAATGAAGTTGCGGCACAAGATCTTTCTTCCCAAGACATTGGGAAAATAAAGAGACGGATTGCTGATGTGCTTGAACCTGGAGAAACGGTAATGTACATAATTCTTCTTAGACAAAAAATGGTATTCTTCCAAAGAACAATTATGTTACATATGTGTTCCAGAGTTTCCATTTTTCCATACAGAAGAGGCTACAGCCTATGGTAGGAGAGGGCTTGCAGATGCTGGGATTTAAATCTCAGTTAAATCTCACATTTTAAGAATTGCATGTATTAACTGGACTGAACCTTTGGTTCCATTTTACTTCAATTTTCATGATATCAGCACCCTATGTATAAAGTGAATAGCAGATACTGTACCTGGTGCTTATATTAGGCTATGATTTTATGTTGGCACTTATTGATTTTTTTTTTGTAATGCTTATTTTAGATGTTCACGTTCATTCTAATGAGGGTTTTCACTTTTGAGGCTAATCTAGTTCATAAACCTGCTCACATTAAGGCATAAATTATTATATTAGGCTATGATTTTATGTTGGTATTTATTGATTTTTTTTGTAATGCTTATTTTAGATGTTCACATTCATTCTGTTGAGGGTCTTCACTTTTGAGGCTAATCTGGTTCATAAACCTGCTCACATTAAGGCATAAATTATACTAAATCTGTCAAGTATTGTAGATAATTTCTTCTAGATATTTTTCCCTTTTTTGGTAGAAGTAATGGTTGCTTTTGAAAGGAATAGAGAGCATTTAAAAAAAAAAAAAACTTTCCCCATTTACAGTTCTAAGCACTATCCCATATGTACTGGATATTAGACATGTTTTATCCATTCAGTAATTAAATATGTTACAAGGGGATGGTTTATAGCTAATTTTATTTTCTCTTGACAGGTTTTACAAGCTCTGAGAAGGTTGAAAGGAACATCAAATAACAGAAAGGAGAAAATGCCAGCTGAGACAAAGCGTGTATTTGATCAACTAACTGAGGATGCCATTAAGTTAATGGAGAATGGTGATTTCAGTTAAGTCTGTACTTCCTGCTTCTAGTTAACTAGGATTGAGGATGCCATAGTTTGTGCTTATTGGTGTATTTATTGTTATGCAGATGTGTACCATGAGAAGCAAGAAGTTTTCCGGCGTGAGGCAGGTTGGTGCAGTGTTTCCGTATTTCTTCTTTTTATTTATTTATATATGTCGATGGTTTCTGCAGAAATTTTTGTCATATGTAAGTGTTACACGTAATTTTCCAAGGGCAGGTATATATTTGAATAGCTTTTGTTAACTATGCTCTTGATATCTATTTTGCCAGAGGGATATGAGAAGTTAGCTCTGGCCAGGGACAAAAGCTTATCTGCTGATGCAGCGCTGGACAGTTCTCATCCCAACTTGGGAAGTGATGTACTCACAGATACAAATTATCTGGGAGTAACTTCCTCAGTACTTTCTGACTCGGCCATGGGTACTTCAAATTCAAATATAATTGCTGCAGAAGCTTCAAGCAATGCTGCCGACAGTTATGATATGTTTGCAGACGATGACGATAATGAAAATATTAAACCGTCATCTGAGCCTAATTCTTCCACTGACATTCAATCATCATCAGAAGCTGTCAACACTTTTTCTGAGAGTATGTATTGTCAGCTCTCATTTGTTTTGAAGGCAATGGAGCATTTTGGATTAAATAAAGTGTAGCTGATGCTTGATCTGCTTGTCTAATTTAGCATTTGCATCTTTTGCAGCCGGAGGGGCCTATAATGATTATGTGTATGATGAGTCTTCGGGGTAACCCTTCTTTGATCCTTTTTTTTTGCTTCCATAATCCATATGCTATAGTTTCAAATGGGACTTGGATTTATATATGTTTCTCTACTGGAGTTCCTTTCTAGGATAATTTTTTGTGATTTATGAAGCAGTTATAGATATTTGAAGGAAGAATTGCTAATAAATAGATATGTATCTTGGTGTTGGGTAATATTTGATCTTATCTGGTAATTTTATGTTCAGGTACTACTACAGTAGCACTTTGGGATATTATTATGATCCATCTACAGGACTATATTGCTCAGCAGCATCAGGGCAATGGTAACATTTCTTTTTTTGCTAGCTGTGTTTAGCATTTTCATTTATACTGGTTTAACTCAGTTTGAAAGATTGAGCAGTTCCTGAGTCACTTTACATTGTAGATGCAAATGAGTTTCTTAACTGGGGCGAAGAAACCTTGTGATTCTTTGCTCATGTGAATAATGTGATATTATGTATAAACATAGTGTTTCCTTCTGGTAAGAACTATGCTCGAAGATGATTAAATGACAGGTTTACTTGATTGCATAAGAAAAATAGCAGAACGTGAACAGGTTATTATTAAAATTATGAGTTTTGGTTTTAGAGCACTACAATTTACACTACTGTTAATTAGTTTCAAATTAAATGTATAAGATAATCTATTATCATTAATTAGTAAATGTATAAGATAATTTACCCTACTGGTAATTAGTTTGAAAGTAAAAGTATAAGGTAATATATTATCATTAATTAGTCGTAAGTAAACATATAATAACCAAATCCATTAGACAAGGACGCTTTTCATTACCCTTTTTCCACATTGATTTCTTTCTCTTGTTTGGAAAAAAAATAGAACAGTGAAAAAGTTTTTAGGAATTGCATATTTGATTCATTCAGTTCAATGATGCATTACCATCATAAGCTGGTCTTCGATTTGCCTGATTATATTTTGCATATGTTGCTTTAGAACCTCATCCGTCTTATCTCTTCTGCTGATATAGGTATTCCTTTAATGAAGCAACTGGAACATATGATGAAGTCAAGGAGGCTGCGTCCACATAAATCGATAGAATTGCTGCTTCAGTGTAGGATGTTGTACAGGCTACAAAGTCGGAGGTTTGAAATTCTCATGCTCCTCATCTCTTATTGGTTTGAGATCAAACCTTTAACAGTTTGTAGTTAGAATGATGTGGAACTCTAAACTTAGCCTAGTTGGTGTGTGAAGTCTGTAGTTTCTTTTGTACTGTTTATTTTAGCAAGTAAAGATCACTTGGGACTTCATTTGAAATAGGTTTGAGCTGTTCAAATTAAGGGGAATTTACCTCTCCCTTTTCTTGTGTGGATTTGAAGTTGTATTCAAAATGAAGTGCTGCAATTGCAGATGCTTACAGGGTGTAGAATTTTTTATCTTGCACGATCAGTGTAAGTGAATAAGGTTGCCCCTCAATATCTAACATGTCCTGTTTTTGGTTGCTCAAAAGTTCCATTCTTTTCCTTCGTTGGTGGGTGAAAATCATTAATTAAACAAACTAAAACTTGAAGAGAAAGATGCATACATCCGTAGGGATACCACCAAGCGCTTCAAGGAGTTTAATTATTTAAAATACTTTTTAATTAAATAATCAATCTGTAACTATTACGGAAAGAATTAATGGTTTAACTATTAAAATAAACGGTAAATTATGTTTTAGTACCTAAACTATTAATTTTAATTCGTTTTAGTACCTAAACTTTCAAAATCATGCTTGAAGTTTAGTTTTAGTTTTTTGATTTTAGTACCTGTTTTTAAAAACTAAAGTTTTTGTTTTATTTTAGTATACATCCTTAGAAACTTTAGATTTTGTTTCATTTTAGTATATTCGTTTAAAATTTAACGTTAAAATTTGAAAAAGTTGAAAGTTTAGGGGTTAAAATGGATTAAAACTGATACTTTAAGCACTAAACGTGTCAAGTTTTTAATGGAGGAATATTAAAATGAAATGAAAACTAAACGTTAGATACGATTTAAAAAAATTAAAAATTTAGGTATTAAAATGGATCAAAATTGATTAGTTTAGGCACTAAATACGTATTTTATCTTTAAATAAAACATTATTCTTCTATGAAAAGCACATCATTCATAAAATCTCTCCAGAGTTCCCATATACTTAATTAGTATGCATATAATGTCTAAAATTATTTTAACTTCATGTAAAAGTGTACATTTTATAACAATAAAATCTCTCTAATGTTTTTTTTCTTGAAACAATAACACTAAATTAAAGATTGAAAGTTGAATATTTATTGCATTTATTTCAAACTTTCTACTCAAGTTTAAAGCATGTGGCCAAACAAAATTTGAACAACTGGCCATATTATCATCTTATTCTGAGCATGGTGAATGAAGTACAACATTTTCATTCAGAATTAAACCATGTACACAATATATATATATTGAAATGAAAGGATTTATATAGCATGAAGCCTCGTCAAAGATCACATGGAAAATGCATGAAGATAATCATACGCATAATATAACGGCCTAGGCTAGAAGAAGAAAGGGCATAACATGTACGGCCATGGGCAGAACAACATTGGCAGATCATCGGAATCTGATGACGCTTATGGAGTAAGCGACGCTGTTCAACAAGATGGAAGCCGAGCACAAAGATATCAACATGCGAAGAGATCAATTATCGAACCGCATTTGTCGCATTACTTTCAATAAGAAAGTGTGGGTAATCCAATTCGATTGCTAAATTGATACAATGAGGGATTGCGTACATGTGTGGGTAATCGCTTTCTCACAGATTGCAAATACGCTTCCGTACAAACAATCAAGATTATTTTCCCTTTCAAGTTTTGAAGTAAATATTTGGTCGAAACCTTGCCCAAACAACTTGCGAAGTAAACAGAATGTATGTAAATAATTTATGGCCTACTCAAGTAGTAGCGAAAAGGTTGCTCAAGTGAGGATTGCTTGGGAAGAAAGAAGCATATGCCATGTATTTTTAGTAAAATCATAAAAACTATTACGTGAAATTTACGTTTTAAAATAATATTCTTTTATTTTAGTGATTTAAAAGTTTTGATAAAAACAACATCAAAGTATTCGATTCGATATTTACTTTATGTATTTTAATTTAATTTTTTAATAGTTTGATATCAAATTTAAAAGAAATACAAAAATGAAACTTTTATGTTCTTTAAAAGTTGAAATTATAAAAAAAAATAACTTCCTCTGCTCTCAGGCATTACTTATTTATAACTTTGTAAATCAGATTGATTTTCAAGATTATTTAGGGTAAATTATGTATTTAGTCATTCAATTATTCATGTGGTTATGTTTTGGTCATTTAATTATTTTCTTAAAATCATAACTAAATTTATATTTTTGTTATGTTTTGATCATCTATTGATATAAAAATAAATATAATTATTGACACATTATTTTTTAAAATTATTTTTCAATAATAACATGACATTACTTGATGATAATACATTGACATCATTAATCTTTTAACCACGGTGATCAGAAAGAAACAAAAACGTAAGTTTAAATATGATTTTGAAAGAAAAAAAAGGTTAAATAATAAAAAATCATAAAAATAGTTGATAACTAATTATGTAGTTGATCGAATTATTTATTACACTAAATATTTATAGTAGTTGAGAGGGGTACGGGAGAAAAATATAAATAGTGTTTGGTTTGATCTTCTCTATAGGCCCAGCTTTAATGGCGTGAGAGAGTAGAAAAGGGAGATATGTATATATATACACGTTTCTACGTTCTTAAAGTAATCGTATGGTGCTGTGATCTCCTTCAATCTTTGCATGTTTCACCAACTCTTAAAAGAAGAAAACCCAAAACACAAATTTATATCCTTTTCATATCAATGAACTGCAATTTGTAATTCATTTTCTTATCTGTTTGTTTTCTATCTCCACTCAAAGAAAACCAACCCCAATTGCTTTTCCTTTTTTTTGATGTTTGTTTTCAAAATCTGAGCAAGATTCACTCTGGGTATTTGTTATTCAAGTGTTTTTCAATTTGTGTCTGATGTGGGTGTCGTGATTGTTTCTTGGTGTACTTTTTTTATAATGTGTTGTTGTTTTTGATGTTGGAAGCAATTTCTGAGATTGTGGAGAAGAAGAAGGAGAAGAACAAGAGCAGAGGAGATATGAAGGATGAGGAGGAATTTGAAATGTTGTTAGGTGAGATCCCTCATGCAACATCACATCATCTGCATCAAAAACGTTATAATAATCATGCGAATGGGTAATTTCATGGCATGTATGGCCTTATGTATGATGGCACATCAAGTCATTGTTGTAAGCATGCATGTGTTTCCCCTGTGAAGACACTCAAATTCGTCCTCTAATGTTATATTATATATATATATATATTATCATATTATAATATATATATATAATTTATTTATTTATTAGGGTACAAGTCCAATAAAAGACCAAACAATGGCCCAAATACAAGCAGTAACCCATTACACGCCCCAGGCCCAAACCGGTTCAAGACCCATTGAAGCTAGGGTTTCCAGAACCCTAGCCAGCTTCTCTCCAACGCCGTTCTCCCCTTCAACAAGAGATCCGCACGCCTCTCAACAGCACTAGAGTTCTCGGCAACCACCAACGAACGTGTTTTAGTAGGATTCTATCACCAATAAACAAGAGCAGTAGAGTTTGATTAGGACACAAATATGTCATTTTTTTGTGTATAAATATGCTTGTAATCAGACGATGTAAGGGGATTTTTTTTGACACGAAATAAAAGCAGAAATTCCAAGCCAAAATCAAGGCAAAACCGAAACTTTTTTTGAGAAGAACAAAAGGTAAAAGTTCGTACCTTTCCTCGTTTTGATAGCTTGCATGTTGTTTCCTTCATATTTTTCTCGATTTAGAACCCAAAAGGAAAAGTTTTGGCCGATGACTTTGGGGGTAGAGCTTTTTCAAAATTTCGAAGTTAGATCTACCCCCTGAGGCCTATTTTTCAAAGAAAATATGTTGGTTTTCATAAGGTGGAAAGGATGGGCTCTCGAAAAATGATTTTTTTTTACATTTGCCGCTGATGAACGGCGGCCGGTGCCGTTTAACGGCGGCCGACGAGGTGGCACAGGGCGGCTGATGGCCGGGTTCTGGAAATATGTCGCCGTGTTCTTCATTTGTTGAAGAACAGGCGAGAGAATTGAAGAACGGGGAGGGGCCTTCGTTTCTTAAAAGAGAAGAATGAAAATTAAAGCCAAGACATTGGCTTATATACTGACCCGACCCGACTCGAGCGGATCCCCTAGGGGATCCGCGTGTTTTCAAATAAATATGGGATAATCCCCCATTCGGTCCCTCTCTGTTATAAAAAGCCCACTTCGACCCTAAATCCTTTTTAATTTAACCTATAACTTTTATTTTCTTTTAATTTGATCACCTAACTTGCGTTTAAGTTCAATTTAATCCCTCTGTATTATCATTATTCATATGTATATTTGTTTGTTTTATTATCTATTATTTTATTTTATTTTATTTTATTTTTACATATATATATATATATTTCTATCATTTTCCATTTTTTATTATTATTATTATTATATCATATTATTTCTATTTTCATTTTTTTACTATATTTTTATTTCTTTTGTCTTTATTATTATTATTTGTATATTATTATCCGTTATATACTTGTTATTTTGGATAAAATTCATTTCACCCTATTTTTATCTTCTATTTTACTTGTATTGTTATTGATTTTATCTTCTTTATTTTATGCATTCTATTTATATATATATTTCTTTATATTTGTTATGTGTCTCTTTAATTTTTATTTATCTTGCTTACTTTTTTACCAATTTTATTTTATCTACTTTATTGCGTTTATTTTTATCTCTCCTTCTTATTTCACTCATTTTTTTACTACCTTTTTATCTAACACAACTCTTGACTTTTAAGAGGTACATCTTCAATTAATTAGAGGTAAGTAATTTAGGATCAAGTTTTACCTTTTAATTTAAAATTGCAATTTTCTTAATTAAAGACAACTGGAAATTATATAGTACCGAAAGGGCAGTTCAAGGGTGCTAACCCTTCCTTGACTGTAACTGACTCCCGAATCCGACACATCTTTGGTAAGACGCAGATCAGGTAAGAAATAAGGTATCCGGTCAACCTATTTATATTTAAATAAAAGATCGGTGGCGACTCCAATCCGCATTTTCCTAAGTCGAAGTCCAATTCCGGGCTCAACCGAAAGACTGTTCCGACACCCTATAAGCGGTTTCTCTTTACACTGACGGTTCTTCCTCGAGTCTGTTTTCTAACGATGGGCAGCAATCTTTATCTGACAAT